AGACCTAGACTATATATTAATAGACGAAGAGAAGTAGAGAGCTAATTTAGAAAAGTTAGTTCTACGAAGTCTAGTACGAAGAATTAATATCTTCTAATTAAAGTAATATATAGCGCGTAAAATCTCGAAGAAATACTAATAGAGAGTAAATATAGAGATAAGTATAATATATAGAGTAACTTCGCTTACTAATATAAAGAAACTACTATCTAGTTCTATATCGTCTATATATAATCTAAGACCGCGCTAGATAACTAGCTTAAAGACTCTACGGCCTCTACGACCTAACTCGAAGGGTAGTAAGATAACTAGCTCGAAGACTCTATCTAGCTCGAGAATCGATAAGAGAAGCGGAAAGACTCTATTTATAATCTCGAAAAGCGGAAAGACTCTATCTATAATTCCGAAAAGCGGAAAGACTCTATCTATAATCTCGAAATCTAAGGCGGTTAGAAAACCGATAAATACGACTATAGTACGAACTACGTACTACTTAAGAGACGCTAATACTAACTTTATAAAGCTTATAGAAAGAAACTTATTATAGCTCTACGGCCGAAGAGTAAATTAGACGATAAAGGTATATTTACTCTCGCTCTTTATATATTATCTACTAAAGAGGAAGTTATAATAAAAAATCTAATCTCTAGTCGAGCGAGTAATACGAGATTATTTAGAGATTCTAAAGTAGATATATAATAAGTAGAAGTAATTTATATATTTCCTTATATTAATTATTATAATAGAGCTAACGAGATAGTAGTATTTTTATTACGCGAAATTATATATTACTAACGTATTACTAATTCTATTATCTCGGTAGTTCTCTTTATCTATCTAGTAAGAAAGATTATAGAGAACTTCTTTAATAATATTATTCGTATCGAAGTAACTATAATAAAGACTCTTTAGATATCTATTAAGACTTTCTTAGTATTATTATTTAAAAGTTAATACGAATTAGAACTTCTATTAATTAATATAACTAACGTAAGATATAGATACTAATCTATATACTATTTACGCGAAGCGTATTACTATCTAGAGTAAAGATATATAACTTACTCGCCGTCTTAATCTTCGCTATACGATCGATTATTAGTAGCTATATTTCTATCTTAGTTAAAATCTAGTTAGTCGATATTCTAATCGATATAGTAGACTACTTCTTTATTAGGGATTTTTCTAGATAGTTAAGTAAATCGTTATATAGTACGAAGATAATTATAAAGAAAGAGACTATAGTCGAAGATATACTATTTATTATAGTTAATAGATTTAACGCGCCTAAGGAGTCTAGCTCGAGTTACTTATATAGATACGGAATATTATATACTACGAGTAGTATATACTTATCTTCTCTAAAGCTAAAGTATCTATAGTAGAGGTTTAGTAGTTTAATTTTAATTACTAGAATTAAGTTAATCTATAAGAACGTTAGAAAGAGTATAAAAGATATATATAGACTATAAGTAAGATTAGTTCGTCTACTATTAGTAAAAAGAAATTATTTCTTAAGTTAATCCGTATTATATCTCGTCTATCTAAAATAAGTTATAAACTATAAGATCTTATAATTAACTATCTCTATTACGAGAAAATATATCTAAGGGGATTTAGTAAAGAGTTTAGTCTAGACTATTTATAGTAATCTATATTAGTACTATTATCTAGTTTCTAGTAATTTACTCTTTACGCTATTCTCTAGAATAGTTTTAACGATACTAGTATATTCTCTACTTCGAGAATCTTCTAAAATTAGTAGTAATCTTAGTAATACTATTATTAATATATTACGCTCGCGTCTTATAGACTACCGTCTACTTAGCTTTCTAGTACTTTAGCTAAAAGTCGACTTTAATTTAAGTTTAGTCGATCCTAATTAGAAACTTTATTCTCTTCTATCGAGAATTAAGATACGACTAGTTACTATAATATATTCTTAATAATATCTTTTAGCTCGCTAATCCTTATAATAGCGGTTAATAGTTCTTTACTATCGTTAGTACTAAAGCGGATTTACTTAATACTTAATTATATAGCGATATCTATAAGGCGAGAGATCTATTTACGTTTATTAACTAATCTTTTTAGTTTATAACTCGAAGAGTAGCCCTCTTCTTCGACTCGACTATATAAAGGCGAGCGAACTTACCTTTATACGAAGCGCTCTAGATATACTAAATATTAGCGTTCTCGAATCTCGACTACTTCTACGTCTAAGTTCGTCTTTACTTCTATATATACTATATAAGTCGTATTCTATTACTATTCTTAGAATATATTATTACGCCCTTCGTTCTAGCTATTTATCTCTTTTATCTTCTATACTACTATACTTAGTCGATCTTTAAACTTCGCTAATCTCTATAGTATACTATACTTATAGCTAAGCGTTCTAGTAGTTTAAAGAGAACTAAAAGAAGATAGAAGAATAATATTATAAGCTTAAATTTTACGTTTAAGATAGACTTTATATACTCTATACTAAGGCGGTAGTATTTATTATAAGTATATATCTAACGAGCCGCGAAGCTAATAGAATACGCTATTTATTATTACTCTTCTTAGTCTCTCTCTAGTTATTCTTAATTAAAGTCTCGTCTCTATTCGTTTCTTAATCGATTTTTATATACTTTTAAATCTTTTATATCTCTTCGAGTCTTCGAAGAATAGATTACTATAATAACTATTATATTACGGATAATTACGATAAGAAGCCTAAGTATAAGTATAGTATACGCTATTCTAAGAGGAGTATAACTATTAAGAAGATCTATAATTATACTATACCGACTCGATATCTTCTAAAATCTAGATATATCGAAAGTACGGATATATAACTTATCTATCCTTATCTAATTATATAACGTATATAGAACCGTAAGAGCCTAAGGCTAAATAGCTACCTATCTCTATATAAATAGAAGGTTAAGCTATTATACGCTTCTTAATTATCTATCTATAGTATTTATAAAGTATTTAGAAGCACTCTATAAGATTAATAAGTACTAAATAATACTCTTACGATTATACCTTTAACCGTATTTCCCTATAATAGCTTATATTTATATTTTCGTACTATTTCGAGAAGATAGTAACTAGAGTATAATAATAATTACTATATTAATCCTATCTATAGAATAGATTCCTCTTATACTAGTATATTTTCTAGTTAGCGTATAAGCTATTACTTTTCTATATATATTAAGCTATAATATTATCGGTATTTTTCTATTAAACTATCTACCCGAACGGGCTACCTAGCCTAAATAGGTACTACGAGTAGGGCTTAAATTTCAGGAACCCGCTCGCGGTACCCGTTAGGTTACGGAGTGCCTACCCGGCCTAACCCTTAGGGTAGCCCTAACGCGGGTAGGGTCGGGTTAACCCGCGCCACTACGCAGCCTAGCGGCGACGATTCTTAAGAAGTATATCTTACTAAATCTTTATTTAGAGATCCTCTTATACGCGTTCGAGATAGAGTATTCGAGCGTTAAGCTTACGTTTAAGTAACTAAAGTACTTTAATAGGTTAACTACGCGTAGAACGCGAGACCTTTATCGACTTCTCCTCCTCGACGGGTTTATAGAGTATCTTAAGTTTAGTTTCGTTAGTTACTATTAGGATTATAAGATTATATCTTTTTCACTTTCTATATATATCTCGTACTTTTACTAGCCTCTCGACGTTATCTATTTTTAGCCGTATAAATACTAGTATAGCGAGTATATCGATAGAGCGATACGATACGGCGTCGAGAAGTTCGATAAATTAGATTTTCTATTAAATCTTATAAAGATAAGAAATAAGACTTTTAAGAGATCGATAATCTATAGCGCTTAGAAGAAAATAGGCATTATACCGTTTAATCCGTTATAAGTAATCCAAAAGGTATAAGAGTAGTAGCTATAATAATAGAATATACGAATTACGTACCTATCGAGAGACGACTACTACGACTATAATACTTCTAATAACGAGATCTATAACGAGCGTATAGCGCGTGAAGCGCGTAATAATAGTAATAATAGTAATAATAGTAATAATAGTTAGCGTATAGGTTCTCGTACTCCTACTTCTCCTTCTCCGCCTACGCTCGATATAGTTACTCTTACTACTCTTTATAAGCCTCGATTCTTCTACGTTACCTATAAAACCCTTAAAGAGGCAGTTAAATAGACTAAGATAACGCCTACCGTACGCGACTCGCTTAATTCATTCCTTAAAGGTGCCGAGGCGCTCGTTATTTTAGGTGCGAACGTAGTTCGCGATCTATAGCGTACCTATAACTACCGAGAGTCTCGAAAGTCCCGAGATTAGTTATAGAGATATATCGCTAAAGGCGTAATTATAGTAGTAGACGTATAGACGTATATCGAGTTGCGGCAACTTGAAGAGAGTAAATACGAGAAGATATAACGTATTATCGAGCGCGAGACCTAGAGGCTTAAGAAACTGCGTTAATAGGAGGAGAAACGCGCTAAGATTACCGCACGTAAGCGTAAGCGTTAATAACGAATATAAGAGCGTAAAGAGTAAGTATAATAGCGTCGAGAGTAACGTAAATAACGCCAGTTAGAGCGCCAGGAAGAGAGATAACGCAATAGAGTAAATATAAGACTTTAAGAGGAGACTATAGAGACAACCTCTCTAGAATATACGTAGGGCTCGACGAAGGGACAAGTACCGCCTAATTTACTATATAACTTTTCCCTCGAGACCCTATAGGAGTATTAAGAAGAATAAATAAGTATATCTAAGCGTTATTAATAACGTTATCGACGTCGACGTCAATAGACGCGTAAATCTACGAAACGCGACGTATTTAGTAACCTAACGCAGTTGCCGACAGGCACTTGCTCGTAGAGCAAGTGTAGCGCCGCGTAAACGCGGCCGCCAAACTCGGAAGGAGGGGTGGGTCCCCCTGACGAGGTCCTTGGCACGGTTAATCATGAGGAAAATACTCGGCTTTTGGCCTCGTACAAGCTAGGCAGAGCACGCGATTCTGCCAAGGTCCAGGTTTTCAGTGGAATGATCCTCATCAATATAAGCATCCAATGAACGATATTGACAAAAGTACCCCTTGGGAGGAAAAGACAAGCAAAGATAAGCGGGATCCAATCATGCTTGATTAACGCCACCGGAATTGGATACATGCCCCATGAGAAGATCTGGGCCCACAATTGCGTGCTCTTCAACTTTGTCAAAACCCAAGAGCACGGCATCAGCCGTGGATCCCTCACGTGGAATACATATATTGAGATATGGCACATTTGCTTGACGCGGAATATGAGCCGTCATGATTCCAGAAGTTCGTGATAAGAAAAAGACTTTATAACCTGTGGAAAGTTACTGTGGAAGCCCTCGGCCATCAATCTGTCACCCATCATCTACGCCGGCAAGATGGCGAAACAAGACCTGGAGCCCGTTGTTGCCTCCTCACCTGAACTTGCACCGGCGGAGAAACAACGGAGGAGAAGCAATGCCGATGCAGCTCTTGAGCTCCTCAACAACACGGGCGGTCTTCAACAACCCGTCGATCCAGCCCGACAACGTCGACTCCTGAGAAAGATCGATCTACATATCATGCCACTCATCTGTCTTGTATACTTTCTCCAATACATTGACAAGACGTCGCTGTCGTACGCTAGCGTGACTGGCCTTCGAGAATCGGCTCATCTTCATGGGAATCAGTTCAACTGGGTCGCGTCAATCTTCTTCTTTGGCCAATTAGCATTCGAGTTTCCCACGATCCGATTGTTGCAGGTATTCCCACTCGCCAAATACGTCAGCGTCAACGTCGTTATCTGGGGTGGTGTCCTAGCTGCGTTGGCCGGGTGTAAGAGCTACGGAAGTCTATTAGCATGTCGATTCTTCCTCGGTGCAGCTGAGGCCGCCGTTGTGCCTGCTTGGGTTGTCTTTACAAGCCAATGGTACCGAAAAGAAGAACAAGCGTTCCGTGTCGGCATCTGGTTCAGCATGTGCGGCTTCGCGCAGATGTTCGGAGGGTACTTTGCATACGGCGTCGCCCGACACGTGGGAGGAGATGTCCACGCCGCGCTGCGAGGATGGCAAATCATCTTTTTGATCCTCGGTCTCTTGACCGCCGTCGTCGGCGTGATCTTCTGGTTCGTCCTGCCAGATTCGCCTGCCGTGGCTGGGTTCTTGTCCGAGCAAGAGAAACTCGAACACGTCGAACGGATCCGCGGCAACGAGCAAGGCATCGGATCGCAGGTGTTCAAATGGGACCAGTTCCGCGAAGCGCTGACGGATATCAATACGTGGCTGTACGCGTTTTGGATCTTTGCCGCCAACATCCCCAACTCGATCGCCACGAGTTTCGGCAACATCCTCGTCACGGGCATGGGGTACAGTAAACTCAGCTCTCTGTTGTTGGTGACTCCCTTGGGAGCGTATGAGGTTGTTGTGCTCCTCGGCGTGACGTACATCGCCATGAAGACCAACCAGCGGTTGTGGTGTTGCATCTTGACGCACATCCCGTCCATCGTCGGTGCCATCTTGATGGCTTCCACGGAAAAGGCGTCCGCCCTAGTTGGGTACTATCTTAGCGGTGGCATCCCGATAGGATGGACTACGATTCTGGGACTTCAAGCCACCAATGTTGCTGGGTCTACGAAGAAAATCACCGTTACGTGTATAGGTAAGCAAAGCACTCGCATTACCTCTTACCCATATCCACGCCGCGTGTGTTTTTGTGTGTGAGGGATCACATTGCTGCACAATATGACTGACCAGGTATTCCTTGAAACCAGGCACGATAGCATACACAGTCGGAAACATCATCTCCCCACAGACGTTCCAAGCCCGCGACGCTCCACGATACTTGCCCGCCAAAATATCAATTGTCATCCTCTATTTCCTGATCACGGTCGATCTGTGCCTTATTCGGATCGTGTACGTTTATCGCAACAAGAAGAGGGACGCGGCCAAGGCGGAACGAGGCGAGGACTATGTGCCGGAGAAGAACCATGAGTTTCAGGATCTTACGGATATCCAGAATCAAGAGTTTAGGTATTCGTTGTGATTGAGCATAGTAGTAGATTAGTAATGGTAATCAGTGAGAGAGAACATTGAACAAAAAGGAGAATGAGAATATGGTAACTTGATACAATGTGTTTGCTATCAAGCGATGAGAAAATATCATATCCAGGGTTGTCTGACTGATACGCTACTTGGAGGGGTCTACCCCTCCATTATATCTGTATCCTTATTCATGATCATGGTTATATTCGGTGTCTAGCTATAATGTCGCCCTCCAACTTGAACCGGGGAGACAAGTCTGAGGGTAATCGCTCATGCGGCTCGCACGAGCTGGGGGTGACTCAGGCGGCATCACTCTGTTTCCTAGTTGGGCGTGAGGCGGGACTCGGAGCAGTTCAAGTTCAACCATATATCTTGGCATCACATGATCAGGCGTGGACATCGCGTCTCGACCTCAATGGTCACCCAGACACCGTGTCGCACACCCCCGCTCTCTGTCCTGGGAAGTGAATGAAAGAAGAGTCACTCTCTCGTGAAAGTTCGAAAGTCACACTATCTGCGCGTATATCTACCATGAACTGTTCTTGCGATCCTTTACACCAGCCTGATATCAACACCATCCCCCAGTCGCGATGGTGTCCGCGCAGGAAAAGATTGAAAAGGAAAGGTTCTTCCGGGACTTGTACCGGCTAGATACACTTGATGACGATCTGGCGGAACCTGATTCTCATGCCATCGGATCGCCCATTAAACAGACAAAGACAAGAGAATCGAAGCCACTGCCACACCCAAGTTTGATACTTGCTGACGCCGATCATGAAGCCAGCAACCGGGCCTCCTCTCCTGGGTATGATTTCGGATCGAGGCACACATCTGCACGACCACGACCAGTTCAGGAGGAAATTGAACCACAGACATTGAAGCCGCCTAAACTTGTTTCAACGACCGCTGAAAAGAGAAAGCGTGCCGATATGCCAGTTGCTCGAACCAAGACCAAGGAACCCGAAAGCAAAGTGGCCCGCGAATCAAATATAAAGAGAGTTAGGCCTTCTCTGCCTGTGGAGTTTGAGACTGAGACTGCGCATCATCATCGCAGGACCAGCATTCCTGTCAAGGAGAGACTGAATGTCACAGACCTCTCCAACATCAAGCAGCGCAAGCGACAGTTGGGTAGTCGCAAGAAACTGCCACCAGTGCCTGTCGAGCAACAAATGTTCAGTGGGCTGATGTTCTGTGAGTTCCTGTCTAGGACCCCCAGCTTTATGCAAGCCCTTGCTGACCGCGTGAATTCCAGATTTCGTACCTAACAATGACATTTGTCAAGCCCGTCGCTTTCGAATTCACAAAGCGGTCCAGTATGGTGCTACTTGGGCAAACGAGTGGTATGCTGAGGTGACGCACATTATTGTCTGTGACGGTCTTGATGCGAAAGAGGCGTCCAAAGAGTTCTGGTGCGGGGAGATTCCAATGGGCCCCATTGTGGTCAACGTGAACTGGCTCATTGAGTGCCTTTCCCGTAAGGTTGTCTGTGAGCCGCAGTGGAATCGGTTCCAGGTACCCGGCTTCGCAGATTTGCAAAAGGAGAGGAAGCCAGCGAGCCCTTCTCATGGCCTGCACCCTCCTGTCAACAAACAAGCAGTTGATCCTCCTGTCCCAGATCCTGCTGGTGGAACGGCCAGAAGATCCCACCGGTCTCCTTCCGTCTATTTAGACCTAAATGAGGACGACACCCACTCCGGACTGGAAGAGAATGCGGCTGAATGTGCGCGGCATGAAGAAGAATCCGATCTGGAAGATGAACTCGACAACGCCATTGACGCCGTACGAGATCTTGGACACCTCCCACTCGAACTGAGCTTCGAAGAGAGTGGAATCTCACCTGCAGAGCATCACGATATCGACGAGGCTCTGACAACTTTTCAAGCCAAGGGCAAGGCTCCAAAGGTGAATGCGGCTTTCATGTGCATGGACAAGCATGACGGCAAGAACGACGACAATCCCAATGCACAAACGATTGAGAAACTTCTCAAGATGGGAGAGTATTATGGGGCTACTGGAGATCAGTGGAGAACCCGGGCTTATCGACAGGCAGTTGCGGCCCTGCGGAAGCAACCCCAACTTGTCCGCACAAAGGAGGATGCGTTGGCGGTAAAAGGCATTGGGGAGCGAATAGCAGAGAAAATCCAGGAGATCGTCTCGACTGGAAGACTGCAAAGACTCGACAACGCCCAGCTGGACTCTCGGGACAAGACACTGCGGCTGTTTATGGGCATTTACCATGTCGGCTATCCTACTGCCTCAAAGTGGATCGCCGAGGGACATCGAACGCTGGAAGACCTTCTCGCAAAGGTAGATCTGAATCGAAATCAGCGAATTGGCATCGAGCACTATGACGATTTCCAGCAACGGATTCCTCGGGCAGAGGTAGCACAACATGCCGCTATCGTTCAGAAAGAGCTGCAAAAAGCCGACCGCGGCTTGCGCATGATCGTTGGAGGGTCATACCGCAGAGGCAGCCCGGACTGTGGTGATATTGATCTGATTATCTTCAAGAAAGACGCAGATCTCAAGCAGATCCAGGCGCTGATGATGGAGACAGTCATCCCCAGATTGACCGCACGAGGTTTCCTCAAAGTGGCCCTTGCTACCACTCATCATAAAGACAGCGGATCGAAGTGGCATGGGGCGTCTGCGTTGCCGGGCTCAAAAGTATGGCGTCGCATTGACTTTCTCTTCGTCCCCTGGGCGGAACTTGGCGCCGCATTGATCTATTTCACCGGAAACGACTACTTCAATAGGAGTCTGAGGTTACTCGCAAGTAGGAAGGGCATGCTGCTGAACCAGCACGGCCTCTACGCGAACATTTTGAGAGGGCGTGGGCGAGAGCGGATGACAGATGGAAAGCTCTTGGAGGGACATGATGAGAAGCGTATCTTTAAGATACTTGGGGTGACTTATCGGCCGCCAGAACATAGGAATCCTTGAGGAGGCATTGGTACCTTCGACATCGACCGAGATCATTGGAAATACGATCTCAAGAAGAAATTGAAGCCGGCCTGGACAACCAAGCTGTCAAGCCGGTTGACAGTATTGAATCTGAACAAGGCAACAAAAATTCCTTACATTCAACAAGGCGTCGAGCAGCCGTAAGCTGGGCAGTCGACGATTAGAAACAGATATCCTACTGCGGTGCAAAGGCAGCCTTTATCGCCTCTGAGCTCGAGGCCGGCATCTTCCCCATACTCGCTAGTCCTAAATAAGATAAAGTTTCAACAGGCGTGCTACAGGGGCGGAACGTCCCGGTATCCAATGACAGAGCAGACAAGCTCCCTCACCGCCAACAGCCGAGCCACCGCCTTTTCGGCTGCAAAATACTGCCTGTCCAAATCTTCAATTGTTGCGCATCATTGTATACACTGTACAACAACCTCCTCGAGTACAATCACAATATCCTTTTTGATCCGGCACCAGAGGACGCTGGTGTCTTCAAAACGCCGGCCTATGAGTTGGGCCTGGTGCCCTTCTCTTGTATATATTCATTTCTTCATTGCCGTGTCTTGGCGTTTGGGTCACTACTTCTATCCGCGCCATTCTCGCTTCTGTCTTCACTCCTCTTTCACTTCACCGCGACACCATTTCTTTCTTTCTTTTTTTTGCCAACAACTCTACAGTAAGTGAACTCGGGGAAAACAATCTGCTCACTACAAGAAGGCGACTAACTTGTTCTGCCCTCTATATAGATCTGCCACTATGGGCCGCCGTCCTGACGCCCTGATCGCGCAGTACTTTGCGCGCGGGGCCAAGATCGGGGACGCCTCGAACAGGTACGAGTACACTTGTTCGAGGTGTGGCGCCCACTTCCCCAAAGGCCGCCGCGAGACCCTGAACGCCCACTTGACCAAGAAGTGCCCGTCCGTGTCCGAGGCAGAGAGGATAGAGATTGGATGGCGCCTCCTCGACCTCCCCGCGCCCAATGAAGACAATATACGGCAAAAGGGCGCCACGGTCAACCCTGGCTCTGGCACTTCTAGCATGGTGGCATCATCATCTTCAACAACAATAGCGCAGGATGTACAAAGACAACAACAACAGCAACAACAGCAACAAAACTTCAATGGTTTGAATGTGTTGGCTGAGGCATCGCGGCAAGTCGGCGGCAACAATTCTTCGGGCTACACCCCTGCCGATCAGGCTCAGACTGCAATTGTACATGCAAATGAAGACGCAGATACTACAACAGCTGTCTATCATTCTTCTCCGAGACAGAGTCAGAGTCATCAACAGCCTGAAGCTCAGCAGCATGGTCTACCACTTGATCCACAGCTTTCAGAAGATGCGTTCACGCAACAGCTCCTCCTGCATGCGGATGGAATGAGTGGTGTTGCGAGAAACAATGATTTTTCCACCCTAGCAACATCTCCTCTCCCTCCTACTACTACTGCAGCCAGCAGCACTACGGCAAGCTTCCCGGGATTGTATTCCTTTACAAGCTTGAACAACCATGATCAGCTCCATGCTGTCACGACCCAGGGGCAAGAGTTTACTACCTCTTCCCTGACAAGCACTCACCCATCACCAGACCTTAGCAGTATTGCCGCCAGCGCAAACGCGACACTTGCAGGACATATGACAGAGGAGAATGGCAACGGCAACGACATTAGCATGACAGATCATGACGTCTCTGAAGCACTACTAGAAGAGCTGCGGGAACAGACACAAGCTCTGCCTCAAACATCAACATCATTGACCTGGGCTCCAACAACATTGTTAGGACCACATGCCATGGACGTGGAGCATTCTTCTTCTGACCAAACACATACAGACATACAACCAGACCAACAACAGAATCCTACTAATGGTATTGAAGCACAAGTTTCTACCACCACGACTGTCCCCGGTACCCGTCTGCTTCTCCCAGCCGGACCAATTCCTACAAACTCAAACTCAAACTCAAACTCAAACTCAACCCTCGGCGCATCACGACCAACAAGTACAACAACTCATTTCGTCGCAGAAACAGGGACGTTGGCCAAAGTCCAGAAGCCCAAAGTGCGAGGCCGGTTCGACGATACACGGCGTAAAAAGGTCCGCGAACTGCGCAAGCTGGGTGCCTGTCTACGCTGCCGCATGCTGAAGAAGACTTGTTCGCCAGGCACGCCATGTCAGACCTGTGCTGCGGTCGAGACCCCCCGGGTCTGGAAACATTGTTGTGTCCGTACGAAGCTGGTCGACGCCTTTCCACTCTACTTCAACCTTATCTATGGCGGTGTTCTCCACAAACGACTCGAACATTTGAAGCAAAGGTCAGAGACACTGTACGACAGCAACGCGCACCTTGTGGCCTGGTACATACCAGAACAAAAGATTCGATTGAGAGTTCAAAAGCGGAAACTCAAACAGGCCGACAACGAGACCAACGGTAACGGTCCAGCTGGTGCTGCTGCCTTGCAATCATCGTTGCTTGTTGCCAATCCAGAGTATCAACAAGACAACAGCAACAACATCATTTTCCACATTCATACAGAGGATGTCAACGTATTCGATGTCGACCAGCTGCTCCGGCCCCTGCGTGAACATATCATCGCCCAGGAAAAGTCTGATGTGATCAAATCGACTGTGGCTGTCGCCCAGGCCCTGCAGACTGGAGCTATCAGCATGAACGGCAACAACAATGACACTACTACAGCCTCGCCTCCATCAATTTTTTCGGTGGAAAAGAACGACAATCTTCTAGACCGTGTCATTGAACTCTGGACTGCAACAGCCTTGCTCACCAACCCAGAAGTCCGTCCGAATTTTATGTTGGAACAAGACAATACCGACCCCAACCATAACAATAACAATCACAATCACACTCCAGCAGCAGCAAATGGCGCTCAGTCCAGTGACAGTGGCAGTGGCACAGACGATGGCGGGATTATGGTTGAAGGTGATGCATATGCACACAGTCGCGCATTGATGACTCTACAGCTGCAGGCAGCCGTTGAGAAGCGAGCAGACAAACTGGCCCGCGTGGTCATGAATCACTTGGAACAACGTCTGCTGGAGCGCAATCGGAACCGCAACCAGAGTGTGGAGATTGTGCTTGTCGCCTTCATCCTGCTCAACTGTGCAGAACGAATGTGTTGGCTGTATCGAGTCTGGGCTTCCGAACAAGACGCACAAGCAAAGTCGGGACAATTGGCGCCAACGGCACCTACCACTACGACCATTTCTACCTCTATACCTGGCCCCTGGCCTCTCTACAAGCCAGCCGGCGATTTTGCAGACAAAGGAGAATACTTTGCCGGCATCATCCATCTGTTGCTCAACCTTCGACAGTTCGAGCCATCCGTCACCGTGGACCCGACCTCGGGATTTTTGGCCCCCAAAGATCCGAATGACACCGCTCTTGCCGCTTGGTTGAACAATAGTTTCATTACAAGGGACTGGGTCCTGGAGGCCACAAAAAAGGGGACAGCAGTGGCTGATCCGGAACATTGCACATCTTTGGATGGCACTTTGTGCGCTCGTCTGCTGTAGGGTTAGTGTGTGTGTGTGGTCATTCAGATTCCAGAAAGTGCGCCGCGATTGATGAACAAAAAGATACGAGCTATAATTGCATCACGATCAGGGATGCAGGGTAACGACGAATAATATTATGACGAAAGACGACGACAGCAACGAGCATTGGACGATAGAAATGGAAGACAGCACTTCTCAGGAGTCAGGAGTCCAAGAGGGGACAGATCAGGTCAGCTTCAGCGTGTTTCCGAGCGGTGCGAGGGGATTTGATAAAAAGGACAGCTGAGGAACGTTGGCGCACAATGAACTGGGTGATAGTGAATGGAATTCCCACGGTGGCGGACTGACGCTTGCGATCATGAATCCTTTACTCAACCCATCATAGGGTTGTTCCCCTTGCGCGAATGCTCGGGGCCATAGCCATTGAATTAATGTTTACTCTTGAAATGAGTCAGAAAAGGGGTGTGAAGAGGACGTCGTGGCAGTCGTGGCCGTCGTACAAGATTGCGATCGCCTCGATCGTGTCACACTGCAGCCACAATTAGATCCCCGACATACCGCCTACCGGTGCCTGGTAACATAGCGCCTGGTACCTGGGTAACAACATGCACGATGTACCGTAGCGGTGCAGAATGCAAGAAAGTCCAGGGGTACAATCCTCCTCGTCGATCGCCCACTTTTGATACCTAGGTCGTTACTATTGCGCAGTCGGGGAGCCTGATGGGTACCACGGATAAGGACATAACTGCGTGAGAGACATTCAAGGCTGATATGGGATTCCTTGCTTGACCAAGACTTATGATACCAGCCATGAGGTGCAGAGGCACGAACAGGTGTTCATGTTAGAGAACGTGACATGCGACATGAGTATAAGTGGCCGAGGATGTACCGTAATGCATACTCAATCCACCACCGTGTTTCAAGTTGTGAGTGCAAGGTGTTGCATTGATGGTTTCAAATAACTTTGCGCACCGTGACTTGAGCTGGCATTTGATACATCTGATACATGTTGTCGTCGAACGTCAAGGGCAAAGTACAGGCTGCGGCTGCCACCAGCATGAACTGCTGCAACCGCGGCTCGCATCGATCTGCCCGAGGTGCCACGGGCGGCCGCAGAAAATGTGTGTTCGAATCTTTGTGCGTCACGGTGCGTGCCAACCGCAACATCCTGGATCCCTGAAACCCCAGACAATCAATCAACTTTGGGGGCCGCCGATCGTCGGCCGCAGTGGTCCAAGACGGGTTTCTGACGAACCAGTATGCGATCAACGCGCCGTGAAGCACCAAGATACAGCGTTTTGCAGTAGTAGTACACCACCATTAATCGACAAGGTATCTAGGTATGCTTCCCAGCTTGCGATGCACATATCAGCCAGGGGCGGGCCGAACAGCTAGTGTGTGGGGGTGTACACTGGACAGACGCATAGGTACACAATCTCTCTCCCTCGTCCGTCAGGCGCCCAGGTGGTCAGTGTAACATGATCAATGCAAGCCTGCCCTGTAGCACCGCTCGACGCCCGGTGAGTACGCATCATGTTCGGCTTGAGGGACAAAGGAGCTCCTGTCAGTCGGTTCAGATTCCAATTGTCGGTAGAAGCATAGCACAGATCGTGGCGTTCCTGGTAAGCAACAGTATCATCTTGCAAGGCAACGCATTCGCTGTTGCTTAGGTACGTTCCCTCTATGTAACAACCAAACAGGTGGCGCGCCGGTGAGACAGGGCTAGCCTTTGTCGTCCGAGTGCATCGTGAATAGGCGAGCATTTTCAAACCAAGGCATCCTACGCACCAATCCTGTCGATCGTTTTACTGATGCCCCGGCATTTCCTCGCCGTTGCTCTCCAAGAGGTGAGGCGGACAGAGATAGCTCGAGACGTAAATGTGATCAGCACTGTCTTTCTGAGCCAGCAGGCCACAGTTACGCTGATGGACGTGAGCTGACTCCTTCTATTGACTGCAGATCTTGCGGCCGGGTCGTCTTAAAAGTCCATGGTGTTCGGAGTATGAGTGACTTTGCTGCCATTATTGCTATAGCAGGGGTACGCCGAAAGCTGCATCAGTTTCCTTGTGACAATGCGAGATTCCAATTCGCAGTTGTTCAGATATGATAATGACGAGACTGGCATCGTATTGTCTCCCTGAACCTCTCGAGAGACCAAATGGCACAAGACATCGGGTTCGTTCCCCGTGTTAGCCTGAAAAATCCAGAAACACGAGGCTGGTTGCCAGGGGGCGGTTGGCATGTCCATTTGGAAAGATGAATCATCGTCGCCGTGCGGGTTGCCGTACCCAGCGGCAACGCACGGCCCAGGCAAGATTAGCAGCCATGAGCGTGTTATGGATACCACTGAAAGCGAACCACGAGACCCAGGAAGAGGAACCAGGCCATTCATGGAAACGTCATGGAATTGGCACAGGCCGCTCAAACTTGTGATGGTGGGCTCGTGTTGACCTTACCTAGATTGAGATACCTAAAGGCACGACTGTACTATCTTCAAGTTGGCTGCTCACTGGGCAGACCACGCGTCTCCGATCGAAGACCGCCTGAATGAGGCGCCCGCTCGCTAATGCTGGGCCGCTGCGCCGCCGGCATGACGCGAAAAGGGTGGTTTCGGCCAAAACCATCCCATTTGCGAAGGTGACAACCAAGTTGACCTGAGGCGGGCGGGTGCCACGGGAAGGTCGAGGCAAAGAGGAGTGAATGCAACCGTGCACCAGGCTGGCATGGAGGAAAGATGCTTAACGGAGACTAGTATGACCTGAGCAGGGCTCATTCCGCGCTGGCCGAAGCGTTCAATGGCTCGTGTGTACCGGGGTCGACCGATCTTTGACGAGGATGAATGGATGGAATCAGGTTATGTCGACTTAATTACCCAGTCAGATTGTGGCAAAACCCTTCCAGAACGAGAATGTGCCTAGAACTAGAGCAGTCATCCGTTCGGCAGGCTTGAAGGATGGTCATCAGATGTCGTGGGAGAGAAACCACGCTCTACTTTGAGTCGTGCTCGCTCCATAGGGACAGGCTGCCACCGGCCGAGGAGGGGCGATGCAGGATCTTCAGACCAGCATTGGGAACCTAAAGGTAGTAATGATCGAGGGTCTGATGGTCAACGGTAGCGCCGCCCACAGATCTTTGTTCATCTAGCAATTGCTCTTCCTGCTCGTCTTCTATCGCAAACCCAATGCTGTGGCTCCTGAGACTGCGAAGCTTGCAGCCCCGGAGGATGTTCACATCGTGGGTTCTGCGGACCGAGGATGGACAGTAACGGCCAGGACACGAAGTACGACTCGAAGAGGACTGAGCATGGCCAACTGCAAAGCGCTAGTAAACAAATGGCCCGGGTCGGCAAGTCGTGGGATCGAAGAAGCTGAGGCCTTGCAGGGATTCCCGCCACCTAGCAGGGATCTCTCGCTGACGGTGGAGCAGATGACCAGTCTGAAAACGAACGGAGACAGACATCATGAACATGTCAGTGACTCTGGCGGCCTAGAGGCAACAGAAGGAGCGACGACAATTGGCCGAGGGAGTATGCGAGGAGGAGCATATGCACATCGACGTGAGTGGGCAGAATGGAAAGAAACGCGACGCGTAAATTCGGACAGATGAACAACAGTCGCATTCGCGTGGGATTGATGAAGTGAGATGAGCCAGATGGAACTGTGGCATACTTTTGATCGAGCTCGATACCTGCGGCGCAGCGGCGGATATCCAGGCATACCAGGTAATAGTGACCTGCCCCGGTGCAAGCCCACCCCGCGCCTGGAGGAGGTAAGGTACAGTACTATTACTGGCAGGAGCTGTCGAGTTCTTTGATGCCTACAACCTCAGGCTACAGTTGTATACTGCGCTGAGCATCCCTCACAGAGGTGCTCTGGGCGCCGCGGCAAAGCACTGCAAGGGGTTTAACTAAAAAAGCCGACGGAGCATACCTGGGTAGGGAGGCCTCTGTCCTACTCGGGCCAGTGGTGCTTACCAGTAGTATACCGTGGGACCTACTGTACAGTACCATGAGATCCGTACAATGGTAGATGCTCTCGAGATGGGGGCAGCAAAGAGCGGCAACCTGATGATGATACCTGTAAATCAGACACATTATTCTACGCCTACACCACCTACTACTGTACTCCTCGTAGCATCAGGAAGAAATCCCTCTGCTGTAGTTGTATAGCATTCCTCGCCGCTGAATAAATAGTACGATGCATAGCACCTAGAAACTTGAAGGCCAGGGTTACTTACTCCCCGGTTCCCTGTCAATTGAGTTGCCTCCACCACTGCAGTGCACCACCACCACCACTACTACTGCCTGTGATCGTATTTCACTTTTTGGGGTGCTGCCAGTGTCCTAGTCTCGGCTCAAACCATATCTTGCTGCCGCTGCAAGTATTGTTCATCATCAGCAGGAAGCGTGGCGATCATCAGTGGGCGATTCGTTGGCCCACCGGTCGACAGGCTATCAGCGAACACATCTGACAGGCATATTGATGCGCCTCTGAGATCTCTCAGCACCACGACGGGCACTGCAACTCATCAATTAATCGTGCTTCCGGCTTGACCGATTCGACGACGACCACGACACTGACACCCACCAAGACCTGCTAAACCCCGTTTCCGGCGAGCGTCCACTACGAGTCTCCCGCTGCGACTGTCTGGTGTCGTCCGGGTGTCCACCAAAGCTGAACGAGCGAGCGGCTGCAGCTCGGTTCGTCCAACCCATCCTCGATCAGTCCCTTTTCTCTGCTGCACATCTCCTGCGAGGCTCTCATCTTTCCTCCAATAATTTGAACACCATTCTCTCACGAAGTCAATTCCTCTACTAGCATTACTGGTTCCACCCGAAACCCTTCCACAACGGTACCAAATACTTGGGGCCAGTTTTGAGGTCTGAAGCTCCATCGCTTTCTGACACGCATACAGACACAGAGCGGGTACGACGTTAGCCCAGCCTGCTGCTCCGAGTCGTCTCTGAGCAGCGTTAGCGGCCGTCGCCGTCGCCGTCCTGATCCTCCTCCTCTCCTTCCCGAGCCTATCGCGCGCTCCCCTCTGCAAGAATATCAACTGCAGCGGGCAGGTCCTTTATCAGTATCGGCGGCAGCATTATACCATCCAACATCAACACATTGTCCAGCTGTTATCATACAAATCGATAGCTGCTAGAGTCACTGATTTCTCGGGCATGGTCACCATTCCTGCTCCTGTCATTGTCGTTATCGCCACCACTAACGAAGTTGACTGGTCTCGGTTCAGCCGCCAAACTTGAACTCCTCGGCAAAATCGTCATTTCGCAGGGCACAATTAGGACAGCCGCCCCAGTTTTCCCATCGTTGATTACCTCTTGACGGACGGACCAGACATGAGGAGGTCGTAGTAGCAAAGAAACAGGAAGGAAAGGCGAGAAATAAGATCAGAAAGCTTGCCTTCTTGGGTGGGATTGCCAGCCAAACCCCGTCGGCCGCACTTCTGCACGCTCTCACACTTCCGCCGCAGCCCGCACCTCTTCTTGTCAACTTGGCTGTGCTCTCAGGCTGTGTGTGATCCGCGCACCCACCAGAGACAACTGCAGGCATAGCAGGCCACCACCACTCAAGCGCCTCTTCTTCTTCCTAGGTTACCCCCGAGCTGCCCGCTGCAGCCATCGCCCTCTCCTCCACCCTATCGTCTATGTGCCATCGCGAGTGGTCGAGCATCACCCTCGTCATCCTCGCTACCACTGCACGCCTACACGCTTTTCGCGGCGCGCCTTCTTAGGAGTCTCTGTTGCACCTCGATCGTCCTTTGTAGCACCTGTGCTCGAAAGGCGAGGACTTTTCAGACGCAGGCACCCTCCCCAATCTCTGGGTCACCCGGCTTTGTGCTGCTCTGCAGCTCCCTGGCGCGCGCGCGCTGATGCGAAGCCTGCGCATCACCAACACCAGAAGCACCACCACCACCGTCACCGCCGCCGTCACGTCCCCTTCGCTCCAGCCCTGGAATGTCTATTTACCCGCCAACTCGTCAGTCTACAAATGCTTTGAGTGTCGGCGACATGAGTGATGGTTCAGGAACCATCAATCCTGCGGCTTTGAACGCTAGTGGTACGTATTCTTCTATTGGTGGTGCCTGGGCACAACTGTTCGACAGGCCATCGGGCCTTGTTTATCAGCGCATGGTTATTGGCGCCTCGCGCGCATCATCATTTCATACATTTGATCATCTCCGAGTTTCTTGTTCTTGTTCCTCGACTGACGAAGCAACGTGCGTCACAGGGCTTACACAATCTTCGAGCGAACCGGCACCTCGAGGCATTAAAAGAAGCAGATCTCCCGAACAGTATGGCGAATATCAGCACGCGGAGGAAGAAGGTCAGATTGACATAGTCACGCAAAATTGATCATACTTTCTGACACATAGATATAGGTCCTCGCAAACGCGGTCGCCCTTCAAAAACACCACGAACTTCTGGCGACTACAGCTCGCATATTGAGTCGCTCCCAACACCATCCAGCCAGACGTCACCCGACCTGACGCAAACCCCGAAGACCCAACCGGGAGGTCGCAACACGTCGGCGACGCCAGCGCAAGCCTCGCCGCCGCGAACAATTCCAAAATCCACGATCAAAGCACTGCCAACGGTTAGAGACCACACTAGCGATGTACTTCAACCAGAAGGCGATGAATTTGTACCCCGTGAGTACGACGAAGAGGGCGAGAAGAAGGTGGATGCGCTGGGATACCTCCAGGGCGGTCGGGAGTACAAAATCAGGACATTCACCCTGCCCGGAAGAGGTCAAAAGCTGTTCATGTTGGCCACCGAGTGCGCGCGCCAGCTCCAGTACCGCGATTCGTATCTCCTGTTCAACAAAAATCGCTCTTTGTTCAAAATCATTGCCAGTGCGAAGGAGAAGGAGGAACTGGTCAACCAAGAGATCCTGCCATATTCCTACAGGTCGCGTCAAATAGCGGTGGTCACCGCCCGTTCGATGTTTCGCCAATTTGGCAGTCGCGTCATCAAAGACGGTCGTCGAGTTCGAGATGATTACTGGGTGGCAAAGGCCATCAAGCAGGGATTCACCGAACAGGACGCGGCAGGCGAGAAGCGACCTGGGGCTGCTAAAGCCCGGGAGCTCGCGGCTCAAGATCAACTCAATGCAAGGGCCAACGTCGCTGCCAGCTATGGTGATGTGGTGTACAGCAACGGCCCTGGCTACGGCGCAGTGCAGCCTCCTCCCCTTCACTCTGGAATCGCCTCGACCATGGCTCAGTTGGCATCATTTGATGCAGCTTATGACTCGAGGTTCAAGGACATCCCCCGTCCTAGGCAGGAACTCACAGGCCCGCCATATCAGGACATTACTCGGTCGACCACTGATATTGAACTTGCGACCCAGGCGGGCCACGCCGCAGAGTTCAGCAAGACCATCAACCAGCAGAATCGTTACCGCCGTAGCCTCGTCGAGGACTATTGGCGCAGACCACATGAACCGCCGGTGTCGACGCCGCCACCAGCAGAACCTGAAGTCCCAACCACCAGTCATCAATTCTCCTCTCCGCGCTTCAATACGAGCGATCTGCCGTCCACACAAGCAAACACTATGTCTCACCAGGCTCAGCAGTCCCAGTCGTCAATGAACCCTCCCTCTTTCCCTCACCAACAACCACCTCTTCAATCTCCGGTACGCCAACCAAGCCTACAACAACCATTTCCGCGGGATAGCTCTCAGTTTCCACCACAGCATCCACAGTTTCAAAGATCCCCATCGGCTTTGTCTCTCTCACAGTCATCCCAACAACCACCAATGCAATACGGCGGCGGCGCCTACTCACCTCACGGGATGAACCAGCAACAGCAGCAGCCGCCGCCGCCGCCACCACCACAGAATTGGGGGGCACCACCGCCGCAACCTCAGCAGTCCCCTGCTTTGCACCGTATGACTACGCCTCAATTTTCTCCTAGTCTTTCGCAGGGTCAAATCCCCTCGCCCTTACCCGGAGGTACTCATCCCAGCCCTTCGCCGCATCCACCACAGATGCAACCGCCGCAGATGCCGATGCTTCCACATCAAGGCAGCTCCGGTGCCATGGGAGGTCAGCAGCTTTACGGTCCTGGGGCGGGACTTCAGGCAATGAATGCGGCAGGATACGGCTCGATGGGCATGGGACAACGGCCAATGTATGGAATGGGAGGTCAGAGCCAATTCATGCCGCCAAACCCTGCACAAGGACAAGGCTGGCCCAGTCCTCAAACTCAAAACCAAGGGGGAGGTCAGTGGAATCACGGATTCCAGTAATCAGGCCTGAAATAAGGGTTGCATGCGCAATCGAGCGTCTGTCGCCCAAATATCTGAGTGGGTATTGATTTCAAGTCCAGCCATGTTCGAATTCTTACAATCACGTTACTCGGGACGCCGTCGGAGCACAGAACAGCACAAGGCACGGGTGTACACACTTAATGGATTGTTTCTGCATACACGGGATATGTGAGTTGTTGCATAGCGAACGGTGTGTTGGAGGTGCTGTTTGACTGTTGAAGCACGTAATAGGAGGACTACAGTGAAGCTTCGAAACAGGCCTCTGTCATGAACATCAGGTGGATGGAGGCCTAGCATTTCTATGGGGTTATCTTGTGGTCACTGATTGAATTGGTTTCGGATGTTGTCGCTCTCTTGTTGTCTATTCTCCGCTTGTCTCGATTCTGTCGAGTCTGCCGCTACCAGCTGGTGTTGATCCACCGCGATCATGTTTGAATCGGGGCAGCTGCTGCGTGCCCTCTTCGGTCATTGCCTTGCGGGCGATTGTTGCTTTCGTTGTACATCAGTTCCTGAACATGTTCATTTGAGGGCGTTCTTCGCATGTGGGTTCGTAGTGTGGACGTGGAACACGATTGAAACTTGAAGGGACAGCATTCGCATTATTGGATCTGGTCGAGTACTTGAACTACAGTTTTAATGGGCTTCAAATTTACGGAAGCAAGCACTAATGATGGACTCTATTCCATGGATAACTTGAAGTACGATGCACACTACTGTTGCTGGATCAAGGCTGTTTTTTGAGCTCATATTATTCTGCTTCACCCCCAACCTTCCACAAATCTACTTGTCCATGTCTTTGTCCTTGCCTTCTGTCGTGACGATTCACCCTGTATTATGACGGCTTGTAGGAAAGGAGCTCGCGCTTAAGGACAAGGCACGATCCCCTTGACCCTCGGGCGGCTCAGTTGAAATATGGACAGAGCTGAGGTTCATCCTTCTCTTACCTCAGAACAACACTAATCCTTTGCCTTTGCGAATCTGCACTGCCACTGCATGGTTCCTCTCCTACCAAAAGTGATCATTGACACGAGCCCTGGCGCAGCGCATATCTGTCTGGATACCTTAGGGAAGTACTGGAATGTAGGCCGCTACTACTACTATATTGTTTTCTTCACCTAACACCGAGAGGTCTGTATGTACGGTAGCAAAACACAAAATACAAATCTCCGCTTCGCCTATCACCCGGCACCACATCGGAAACTGACAAGATTGGGTGCTACAGTATATCGCCCACTGGCAGGCAAGACTACATAGGAGGTACTTCCCAACCGCCCTCACAGTGGTTCATTTAAGTTGACGGCGGATACTCGGCGTGTTTTTCGGCACGCAATCCAATCGCTGAGAGGATCCACCAAATACTCTGAGAAGAGAATGACGGAACCTTCGATGGATGGTTAAGATGCGGTGTAATCGGAATATCCTGAATCAGCGAGTACCTTATGGTAACTGCGTACAGGTAGGAGTATATGGGCCGCATCACGGCGTGATGGCCGGGACAAACTTGAACGCCAGAAACAGCAAGCCGACTTTGTTTCGGTCCGGCAGATGCTGTGTGTTCCTTGCCTATCCTTCTTCCCGGTCCGTCATGGGTAGGTAATCCGGCCGGATGTCTTCAATTCAACGATATCATATATGATCATATAATCAGCCCGTTCCTATTTGGATATGTCTGGGGCAAATCTAATCGTCGTGGGGTCATCCATCTGCCGCCTGCTCGAGCTGCTGCCTGAGCCCCACGATCACTGGGGATGGGTTTCCCGATCTTTGAAGGGCTTACACGTAGGTATGGATGGATAAGATCCTTAATGCAAGCCACTGGCATGTCTTCCAAATACAAGATGCCGGAAGCTTTCAAGAATATCTGCTTCCGCGGGCGCCGAACAGAGGCAAGCGCTTGTGTTTTTTGTGGCTCCTACTGCTTCTAGTGACGACGAATTATATTCTTTTTTGGTCGATCACGGTCCGGTCCCCACGAGCGGAGTACGGGGTCCTCCTACAACTTCAGGCAGAATGATGAGAGCGTCCTGAGTTTTGGACATTGAGATCTGGATCAGCGGCCTCGTCGTCTCGCCCAGTCCAACTGGTGGTCGCTGGAGGGCTGTGACTACAAAGACTACCAGGAGAAAGTGACCGATTGTGAACATGGAAAAGCAATATCCACGGGCGAAAGTCCCATTAAAGGTTGTTATAGTAGGGTTCGTGAATCCTATCCTGTCCCTATCCCTTTTCCTAGAAAAAGTCGAGTTTCATTCCATGCGTTCAGCGGCAAGTCATATTCTGAACTTTCGGTACCTTTAGAGCAGGTATAGCAGGCCTTGCGGCAGCATTGGCCCTGGGGAAACGCGGACATGATGTCCACATCATCGAAGTTGCTCCCGGGATCGCAGAAGTCGGCGCCGGCATCCAAGTGGCGCCCAACATGCTCCGGCTTCTCGATCGATGGGGAGTAGGAATCAAGGTACGACAGACCGGAGTGGCTCTGCAAGCCATCCACATCCTACGATGGCAAGAAGGAGCGCTGCTAGGCAGCGTGCCGATCAACCAGCAGCTAGGCGAACAGGTCGTGGTGCATCGAGCAGATCTGCAGAAGGCACTGTTGGAGAAGGCACTGGCTCAACCGAACGTGAGGCTTCAAATCAATAGCAAGGTCGAGAATGTCCGTTTCAGTCCCGCAGCCGTCGAGCTTGCCGATGGCTCGGTCATCCAGGCCGACGTGGTGCTTGCCGCGGATGGGATCAAGTCCTCTGTCCGGGGCAAGATCTTGGGTGATGACAAGGACGTTGCCGTCCCTACCGGGGACGCAGTGTTTCGAGTCGTTCTCACTCGTGACATGATGAGCAAACATGCCGATTTGTTGCCGTATATTAATGAGAAGAAGGCTATCCGCTGGGTAGGTCCGGGACGACATATCATCGCCTATCCAGTCCGCAATCATGAGATCTATAATATGGCGCTTGCACATCCGGATCGTGGACGAGTCGATGAAAGCTGGACGACGGTGACTTCCAAGAAGCATCTCTTGGGCGAGTACAAAGGCTGGGATCCCATGCTGATTAAAATGCTCAACCTTGTTCCCGAGGGCGATGTTTTGGAGTGGAAACTTTGCATGCATATGCCCCTTTTGCGTTGGGTCCAGGGTTCATGTGCGCTGCTTGGAGATGCGTGCCATCCTATGCTGTAAGTTGACTTACCTTGATCATGGGGCTTCTGTTGTGTATCCGTCCTTGCCATAATAGGGTGCAGAGAGACTGGCTGATGGTGTTTTTTGCACATACTAGGCCATACGTCGCCCAAGGGGCAGCGCAGGGGGTGGAAGATGGTGCCTCGCTTGGAGTGGTGTTGTCTTCGATTTCGTCAAAGGACGAAATACAGCTTGCGCTCAAGGCTTACGAAAAGGCCCAAAAGGCCCGCGCCGAACATATCCAGCAGTCTTGCTTGACCACTCGAATCGCCCTCCATCTCCCCGACGGGCCGGAACAGGTGGCTCGCGACCAGAAGTTCAAGGCCATGTCGGCCGGAGGCGCCAGCGACGATAAATGGGGAGATCCGGAAATGCAACGATTCCTTTGGTCTTGGGATGCCGAAGCCAAAGCAGAGGAGGCGTGGAGAGGTTAGTATGCTGTGTTTTCTTGTTACAAACCTTGCCTTGCCCTGGTGTCCATTCTAGGATGTTTAGTTCCTGGTCGTCTCACTCGGGTATGAAGTGGACTGGACATGAACAATAGTCTGACTTGCAGTAGATATCACGCGAAACTCGTCATTCCAGAGTCGACTGTGAGTGGCCGTGGCCCCCTGATTTCGCAATTTGACAGGGCCTTCAATGGCATTATGCAAACCTGGGGCCATGGACTTGCTGTGCAGTGTCATGTCAGAAGATGTCGCCCCAAGGCTCTGAATCGTACGCTGGGGGAGATGAGGCTTCGACACAACCCCAACGCGGCCGCGGCAACGGCAGGTCTCTTTTTTGAACAGTTGCCGGCGCCGGCGCCGTCGCCCTCTGGCGTGATTCAGCCTCCGGGTGCTGTTAAATTCACAGTTCTCATTGGTGTTTGCGCACAGGAAAGAGTAATATCGCATGCGAGACGGTCAGTTCCTGGATGCGTATTATGCCACGTTCGGCCACGTCCCCGGCTGCGTCATACCAATGAGAAGTTTATATTTATTGACAAATACCTTGTCTGAAAGTGGCGAGGGCGCACCTGGATTGGACTGGTCGCCAGACGACAAAGACGAACTATGAATCAACGAAGTTCAGCAGGCGTTTCGGCAACGGCCGAGCCATCATTCCACAATTCCAGTTCCACGTCTGCTACCGCTAGTAGTAGTATCTTCGAACGCTCCTCGGAAACCTCCAATGTAGCAGTTCCTGTCGCCCGATGCAAATGAACCCTAGCTCATACTGCATGGGTACACGCAGGTCCCTGCCTAGAGAGCACGGACGAGTTTCTACCCCCCC